ATATATAAATGCTGTTTTTAGTTATATTTTTATATAAGTATTTAATATATTTAATTAAAAAATAAATAAAAGTAAGTTTTTAATTTTTTTATTTAAATTTTTTTAGAAAAATAATTTTATTTAATATATTTTAATCATGATTTATAATATATATTATATATTTATGTTTTTTATATTATATATTTATGTTTTATAATTATTTGTTAATTTTATTTTTTAAAAAATTGATTCCTACACACATGGGAATGAGAAAACCTTCCCTTTACTATGGTATGACTAATCTCATGGAGATGGGTTTTGTCATTCCCATTGGAATGGTCATTCCTTCCCAAAAAATATATCAATTATAGGATAAGGAATGAGTAAGAGAATGATCATTCGATTCCCATGTCATTTCTTCCTACCAATCATGCCATTAGTCTACACAACAAACCACCAAATAGAAAAGCACATTGACTTCCTGGCCACTATCCAAAGACCTAACCAAAAATAAGAAAAAAGGAGACTACTAAGGGGGTGATTGTTTATGAAATAATTTGTTCAAAATGAATTATTTTGGTTAACCATAGTTAATTTTGAAAAAGCTGGTACGATTAGTTGTTAGTAGAATTTTAAGAATGTATTATAATAATATTTAAAATAAAATGATTAAAATTGATTTGATGTAAAAGTAAGAAATAAATTATTGGAAATGATTGGTAGTTAAAATTATGTGAGTAGATGAATAGTGAATTGAAGTTGATGTGATGAGTAAGAATGATTGTTTTGTATTATTTAATTATATGAATAATATTAAAGATAGTGGGATTGAGTTAAAGTTGAGTTAGATTTTGAGTATCAAATAATGGAAATGAAATAATTCATAAACAATCAAGCCCTAAACAACTACAAGAAACAAAGGACAAACTACAAAGAAATCGAGCAAAATTCCATCCACCACTTCACTATAGCCTTGACAACCACCTCTTTTGGGATATTCTCCTGTTGGGAAAGTCATGAATTTCGGGCATTTCAGAGCCAACAAAGCATATATATAGTTAATTGAATTATAGCTTCAGCTACCTCAGAGTGAGCAACAGAACATACTTGCCACCACCATGATCTAAAGGAGCAGTCATCAATGTTGATTTCATCCCACTGAAGTGGCCCTATATCCCAGGTCTTTCTTGTCTAACAATGTTGATTCCATCCCAGCCCTTTAACACTGAAAAAAAGAGGTGTTCAATGGTTTCTGCAGCTTCCTCACAACTCTTAAAGAGCACATCAATTTCAACTTCCCTCTTTTTCAGGTTAACTTGAACTGGCAGAGTATCACTAAAGCATTTCCAGAAGAAATACTTAAGTTCCCTTTCACCTTTAAATTCCATCTTCTTTTTTTTCCTTTTCTTTTTCACTCGGACCTTTTAATTAGAATTTTTAAAATTAGTTGAATTAACTAATTAACCTATTTTTATTAATATAAATGAAATTTTAATATCGACAAGTTTTATTTATACTAGTACAACCCACAAATGCGAGTGCTAGTTAAAAAATCATACTTCAATTCAGAAAAAATATAAAAAAAAAAGGAGAAGATTTTTATCAAAGTGAAAAATACAAAATACATTCTCGTCTTTGATGAACGTATGCTCGATCAGTTCATACAAGTCGTCGTCCCTATCATTTTTCATCATGTTCCTCCGGTTGTTGATCTCGGCTAGGCCCACGATCCTCCGCCTCATTGCTTTTGGGATTTCCGTTCTTAGAAACTTTGGGGATTCAAGATGTTGAAAACTTTCTTCACGTGTTTCTTTTAGGGTATAGCATTCCCGAGAGGACGACCTTTCTAGGTCTTACAAGAAAAGTTGATAATTGAGAAGAAACTGGAAAAATGTAAAAATAAATGCAAGAAGCTAATCTGCGACTAAAATGTGACAAACCTATGGTTGGCCGAACTGTTTACACAATTCTTTGTATCTTACATACTTACTCAATTTATTTTGTCTATCTGTCGCATAATTTATCCATAATGTAATTCTTAATTTATCGATTATCTTGACCTATCTGTCGTGTAGTTTATCGCATAAATAATTTGTAATTTATCGATTATCTTGATATGTCTGTCGCGTAGTTTATCACATAAATGTTTCGCAATTTTTCAATTTTCTTCACCTCTCTTTCGCATAGTTGTCGCATAAATATTTTGCACTTAATCAATTATTTTCGTCTGTCTATCACGTAGTTTATGGCATAATGATATCGCACTAGCTAGATTATCTTCGTCGGTCTGTCGCGTAATTTATCACATAATGAGATCTTCCTCGATTATCTTTGCATGTCTGTCTCATAGTTGATCGCAATAAGTAATTCGCACTTGCTCAATTAACTTCTCCTGTCCGTTGCATATTTTATCGCATACTGTGTTATGATGACACAATCACAATAATATAATTACATCATGATAAAATAGTCATTCACATATATTTCATCGCATATACAAATATTTTAAAGAATAATTTCATATGGAAAAAGAAAGAAGCATGTCCAATTCAAACAACAATCGTTGGCAAGGATCACCCCGTATCAACTGTCAAGTCCGACCTGTAGATAGAATTTCTTTAAATTCCATGAATCCCACTATATGTAAAAAAAAATAATAATAATAAAGGTTACATAGGAAAACAGAGTCAAAGTCGCAACAACAGACACCCTCCCCACAAGACAATATGATGATCAAACAACACACTTAATCAATATTTATAATTTATCGCATAAATAATTTATAATTTATCGGTTATCTTGACATGTCTGTCGCGTAGTTTATCACATAAATGTTTCGCATTTTTTCAATTTTCTTCGCCGCTGTTTCGCATAGTTGTCGCATAAATATTTCGCACTTCATCAATTATCTTCGTCTGTCCATCACAGTTTATGACATAATGATATGGCACTAGCTAGATTATCTTCGCCGGTCTGTCGCGTAATTTATCACATAATGAGATCTCACTCGATTATCTTTGCATGTCTGTCTCATAGTTGATCGCATAAGTTATTCGAATTTGCTCAATTAACTTCTCATATCTGTCGCATATTTTATCGCATAATTTGTTTCGCACTTTCTTAATGAACTTCGCCTGTTTGTCGCATAGTTGATCTCATACGTAATTCACAATTAACTTCGTCAATTTGTTGCATATTTTATTGCATAATTTGTTTCGCATTTGCTCAATAAACTTCACATGTCTGTCGCATAGTTGATCGCATAAGTAATCACACTTGCTCAATTAACTTCGCCTGTCTGTTGCATACTTTATCGCATAATTTGTTTCGCACTTGTTCAATGAACTCCATAAGGGAACCATCCGATGGCTCCATAGAGTTTTTGATATAAAGAATGTGTGTTTCTTTGTGTGATTTCATTATAACTCAAACTTAGTTAAACTTATAATGACACAATCATAATACTACAATTGTATAAGGACAAAATAGTCATTCAAATATATTTCATCACATATACAAATATCTTAAAGAATAATTACATACCGGAAAATGAAAGAAGCATGTCTAATGCAAACAACAATCGTTGGCAAGGATCACCCCATATCAACTATCAAGTCCAACCTGTAGATAGAATTTCTTTAAGAAGGTTACATAGAAAAACAGAGCCGAAGTCGCAACAACAGACATCCTCCCCACAAGACAATATGATGATCAAACAACACACTTCAACCGGCACAACAATTTTTTCTCACTGAGAGTCACGACTTTCTCTTCCTGTCAGAAACTCTCTCTGATCCCATTTCCACTATTCTCTCCACATCAATCACTGCAGAGCCGTACCTTAGCTTCATCCCATTCTGCACCCACGATCTCACACACAGCAAAGCCCGCGCATCATTTCTCCTCACTAAAAACCTCTGCCTCACATTCTCATCACCCTTGGCCGAGAACACATCCTCCGGATGCACCGCAGTCGACTGCACGGCCAAAAAATCCCGAGCCATCAACGACAGCCTCGGGTACCTCGAGCTGTTCACTTTCCACCACTCCACAACGTCAGTCGGCATTGAAACCGGAGGCTCGGACAAATATTGCGTGAGCTCGTCTGTAGCGGAACTCATCCCTGCCCTCCGTTTTTTCCGAGCAATTTCCTCAGCAAAAGAGGTACTCCCTTCATCATTCAGTTCATACGAATTACCGGCCAAAGGGAAATACGAGACAGAGTAGTTTGTAATAAAATGGTTTCGGACTTCGTCTAGGAAGCTAGTCAGGTTGAGGTAGTCAGGGATGAGTTCGACTTTTATGCGCGGGTCGAGAATCGAGGCCATGTAAGCAAACGGGTTGCAAACCTGGTCGCTGTAGCTTAGGGCTTTGACGTGCATGTCTTCGGCCGAGGCTTTGAGCCATTCGGGGGTTTGGCGCGAGTCCTTGCTGGCCGAGATCGTGTCTGAGATGTGGTCCATGAAGAAGAGGAGCATGCCAAGAGTGAGGACCTTGTTTGCGCATATGTTGCTGATGGTCTTGTGGAAAGGCTCGAGATAGTTGTGCACGATGTTGATGACATTCTTTTCGGTGGAATTGAGGAGTAGCCGGCTTCCGAGTTGCTCCTCGTGCTTCCTGATCACGCTATCGATGGAGTTACTGGCCTGTTGAAAATAAATATCGAAGAATGTGAGTAGACTGTTTAAAGGTATCGTCTTATGTTAGTTTTCCTGGGAACTCGTCATTATTCTGCTCAGTGAGATCCATACGTGGAAACTGTTGTGTGACGAACTAAAAAGACTACTTTGAGACTAAAGGGCTTTTTCTATGTATATTTATCATTCTCTGTGGTGCAAAGCATTACCAGGAGCTATACAAGAAAAAATTAGCTACCCCACTTATTTTTAAAGCAGTTACACTGCTTCTTGATTGTGAACAATAATCATCAGCAGAACTGCTATATTTTGGTATTTAGCACATGGGAAATTATAACGGTCAATAGTTTCAAGATATCGAAAGCGGAGAACTTTACAATCCCTCATTGTTAGCTCTATTAGTTAATTGCACCGAATCATATGAAAGTTATCCGCTGAGATTCTTTTGAAAGTTACAATCACCTTCCAGAATCAAATGACACTAAATAACTCGAGAAATATGCAGGTTTTCATGTTTATCTCAGGTAATCGAACTCATCAACTGACTTGGTAGGGATGTGGGCATATATATATACCTTGCATCCAACGTCAAGCATCTGGTAGCTGCCACTCCACCGGGCTGAGGCATCAAGTGGGAACTTCCAGTTTCCTTCTTGATATGCTGTAGTGAATTGCAAAAAATCCTCTAAGATTTCTGGTGATGAGTTCAGCTCTAGCACAAACTCCCTGATCTTGAGAATCACCGATTTTGTATTTCTTAACCCTTCATTTATTATAGAATTCAAAGTATGAGCAGCACAGGGAATAGAGCAAACGGCCGTCAGTTTCTGACTATCCATATCACCTCTCAGAGTATGACAAGCATGTGTGGCATTTGGACTATTATCGTGAGTAATAGCAAGAATTTTCGTCTCAAGATTGTAGAGCCTGAGGACTTTCAAGAGAGAATAATAGATTTCAGAACTCCCACATGGGCTTGGAATGTGACAAATATCAAGAAGAATTTTCTGAAATGACCAGTATTCATCAATCCACTGACATGTAACACTCATGTAAAGGATTTGTTCGTAGGAAGTCCAAAAATCAAGAGTGATAGAAACCTTCGAAGTAATTTGCTGCACGGTCAGCTTCACCATTTCCTGCATGCTTCTGAAGACCTCGCACATCACTGCCTGGAACTTTTCTCCACTCCAAACCTCAGCTAATGGGTTTAGAAACTTAAATGAGTTCATTAGGAATTGTTCAGCCAAAGTGGAAGGGGGAAGAGATGCTACAAGAAGCCACTTGATAAGCAACCAGTTCAAGTGGTCAAGTTCCACCAAGGGCAACTTAACCTGAGTTTGAGGTTTCTTAGTAACTGTCGCTGGCTCTGGAGCAGAATTGTCAGAAGAATCACCCATTTTATCATATCCTGGATGCCTGCTGCTGAGATGTCTCCCCAAATTACCTTCGGAAAATTAAAGAAGATTATCAGTAACTTGTACAATTTCTGCAGAAATTAACAAATTTCCAGCTAAATGCTCAATTGGTTGTAATCAGTTACAAATTGGAGTTTGTAGCAGCCAAAGCTGCAGCCTCCACATAAGGATGCACTCTCGTTATTTTAACAGTTAAACACCAGATGCTTCATGTGCTTATCATAGTTAAGTTCGCCAACTAAATAGGAAAGGAAAAATAGATGAGGAGATAAGTGATAGAGAAAATAACCAGTTGCAGTGGCAATAGAATAGCTTTGTCCACAAAACTTGCACCTTCGACTTTTCCCATCTACTGCTGTTTCAAAATACTTGAGATATACCGATGTCATTGTTTTTTTCCTGGGTTTAGAAGTAAGCACAGTATTTCCTTTCTCGATAGAACCCAAGCCCATATCTGTTGGATCAATATGGGAGATGATTGCTGCATTCATTATTGTTACGGACTTGGGATCCATATCCACTACAAACAAACAGAAAATAATGTAAGTCAAGAGGAAAACTAAAATACAACTATAAGAACAAAGTACACCACTAAAAATCTCAATCTACCACTTCAGTGAGGATCTTCTTATTACGTTAAAATCTCCTATAACAACCACATTCAATTTAAAATATATATACACATTTCTCATCTACATCTACTGCATCACAAAATTCCTCCACTTGCCTAAACTACCTTAAAATAAATACTTACCAACCTTCTCCAACTGTATCCACTAGAGTATGCAAGCTAATTGATACAGCTCAGGAAAACCTCGATCACGGTACGATCTGGGTTGTGACAGGAACAAGAAACAACACTTTAGCTCATATGAGAAACGAGAAGTTAGACCTAATGAATCAATGTATTTGAGTCAATAATATAGAAATGCATAGTCTTATGAATTTGTTTAAAATTAGTGGAAGAAAAAAGATCTGTTCCTAAGAGCTGATCAACCAAACACCAAGACAAATTAACAAACACAAAAATAGAAGAAATTATATCTTAAAAATTTTCAATTTCAATATCTTTACTGGTTCTTAGAAATCCGACATTAATTCTTGGAAACAGTTTGAGATTGTATGCCCTAATGACTTTGGAATCGTGAAGTTTGTCAGCACTCTAAGGTTGGACAACAAATATCACTATGAGATAACAACATCATTACGAGATATATTTGCATTTAATTAAGTCAGCTTTTGCATTAAATCGAGCCAAATCCCATTGAAAACACAACGAATTCAAACAAAACACTCGCTAGTCACACCACCTCATATTTATTCCTAAACTCCAGCACACCGATAACAACAACTCAGATCGCTTTCCAAATGACCCAAGTTGCAACTGGCCCGCTATTAAATAATCTTACTTATATAATACCTGTTGATTGCAAATATGATATGATTCAATCTCGTCCTTATTAGAACATCCTTCGTCCAAAATGCCAGAGGCACAGTAACTTCGTGATTCATTCATCTCACCAATTCCAAAATGAAACCACCCATACATACACATTATCTGCTCTAAGCCTCTTTCATTTTTTATTAGATAGAGGAAAATAGTTGGCTGGCGCAACCAAGTCTCAACACACTGCAAGATCCAAGCTTTGAACCCTTATTGCCACCATTGCGAAAGGCTATATAGTTTCTTTCATAATCACCACTTGTTTTTCTCAAACTAGTTCATAACCTTATTGAATTTCCACACTGCCATATGATAAAACATGTCTGGAGTAGCACTCGAGAAAGAAACACCAATCAAATAGAGTTACAAGCATAGTCATTGCGTAGAGTTATGCTTAGGACCATGATGATATAAAAGCATTTTCTGAAAATATTGAGCATATGTAAGTATAAAAAGAACAAGACCGTCTAGACTCTGCACTAATGAAAAATAAATTGAAGTGGCCAATACTAAGTAGAGTCGAAGTGTAGAAAAGAGCTTTACACCCCGAATTACAATGTGAAGCTCATTAAAATGAACAAAGCAATCATCACGGTTTCAATATCCAATTAGAATTTAGAGCATCTCTTTCCAAAAATTAAAGAAGAAAAGGAACAAAAATTAAAAATAAAAATTAAAAAATACTAGAAACCTTTAGCGAACTGGTTACTGTTTTTGCTGGTAACAGCCCAATCCATGGAATTTCCACCTGCAGCAGCTACTCCAAGTACTTTGTCGTCTGATTAAAGTCAAACCCAATAAATCCAGCAAACAACGGCAGAGGAAAAAGGGAAAAGAAATACAGATTCAGGCGTTTAGTTCATACAGAGATATACACGGCGAGAAAGACAGATTGCTTGCGGGAAACTCATATGCAGAGGCGGATCAGATCAAGAGATGTGAATCAAGGGTCAGACATATAACATATTTTGAGCTCTTGTAGTGGTGATGAAATAATCCAAGGAGGTCAGATACCGGACAGGCAATGGCGAATCCGACATCCAAGTAAATCCTTCACAAATACGGGGAAAAAATCAGCATTTTTTGTGCGTGTCTGTGAGTGCGAGAGAGAAAGAGAGAGAAGGGAGTAAAAAAATTGGAGGGAAGGACAAAAATGGAGGTTTGAAGTTTGATTAGAAGAGTCGTAGCTAATATTGTAGAGCGAGCCAGATCTTAGCCGCCGAGGAAAGCGATAAAAAAATAAAAAACTAAAAAATAGAGCAGAAGTAGGGAAGAAGAGGGGAAAAAGGGGTGAAGCCGATCAATTCTGCAGTCGCTCACGAGTCACGCCAACAAATCAATCCAGTTTCCGTTTTCACTTTAAACTATTCTTTTTTTCATTCTTTTTTCGGCAATATTATACGTAATGTCACAATTTTAGTTGAATTTTCATTTTAGTCATCACTTATGTATCATCTATGTCTATATATATATATATATATATATATATATATATATATATAATAAGAATTACTCCCTCCTATCTATACTTATATTAAAAGATATACCATTTACCAGATTTAGTATAAAGAAAAGTCAACAACATTTATTGCATTACTATTTCCGTATTATACAATTTATACTTATATAATAAGGTGTACCATTTACGAAATTTAGTAAGTTGAAAAGTCAATGCAATAAATGCATTACTATTTTGAGCAACATAATATAATATCATATCTATACTTATATAAAAGGAGATTCTATTTACTACATTTACTATCCAGAAAAGTCAACTGCATTAAATGTCATTACTTTTTTGGTATTATAATATTTTATTTTAAAAAGATAAGTATAATAAAAAGATTTTAATAATAAAAAAATCAAATACCAAATAAAAATGTACACTTTGACTTATTTGATTATATTTGGTATTTGATTATACCAACTATATTCCTATTTAGTATATACATTAAATACTTATTAAAGTATTTATTTGTTTTATTTGTCAAAGTTAAGTATAGATTTGTTTATATTATCAAATCATAAAAAAATATTAAATCCATATTGTTAAAAATAAAAAAAATCATATAATTTTATAACAATTCTGCTACACTATTTAACAATATTTCTTTTTTATTATATAATAAAATAATAATTAAATACTATATGGTGAACAACAATAAGTAAAACTGTTACTTTCTCTTATATCAAGGGATAAATTTATATGTTAAAATTAAATTTTTATTAGTATAAATATTTTAGTGAGATAATATATTAATTATTTTACAAACTAACCCTAACATGCTTATATTTAATGTTTTAAAAGATGTAGAAAAAACTTATAATAACTCTATTGTTTTTTAGACTTAAACGTTGATTAAAAAAGATAAAAATTCCTAATTTTTTAGACTTAAACGTTGATTAACACCATAGATTGAGAGTCTATATTTAGTAAAATTCCTAATTGTAATAAAAAAATTAATTTTTGCTATATTTTAGAATATCTTTAAATTCATTATAAAAAAAAAAGAAAAAAAAATACAATGAAAAAAGCAAGTCAGCTATATATCGATTTGTTGTACTCCTCAAATTACATTCACAATGTGGCTACAAGAAAAAGAAACTCATTGATTAAAATATTATTTTGTCAGTAGTCTTAATGTACAAGAGACTTTAAGACTCTACTTGAATATTATAAAACTTTTATTGAACATTATACAATTTTCTTGCGTATTATAAACTTTTATTGAGTATTGCATCTTATAATATAATATTCTCCAAATAAATATATCCTCGGGTCACGTACTGTATATATCCCGTACATTTTTCTTTATTCATGTATATAATTATAAACCTGAATAAATAGCCTTAAAATTGTGCACCCCGTGCATGACACGGGCTATGTACTAGTCTATATCTATATCTATATATATATAATAAGAATTAACATTTACCATAAATAGTAGTAAGGAAAAGTCAACCACATTTATTATATACTATTTTCAGCAACTTTTACATTTTATATTTTAATTTTAATTCATTATCAAAAAATTAGATGGTTCATAAATTAATGGGTTTTAAATGCACGTATCATGTTTCAAAAATTATAAATCACTTAAAATCGGAGGGTTCATAAATTAATGGTTACAAACTTTTCAAAGTTGTAATCTTTATGGCATCTTTTCTTTTTGACTTTTAATAATAAAATTATTTTAAATATATATATATATTCTAATTCAAAAATTCAATCATGTTAAATATATATATATATATATATATTAAACGTTAAAAATATTTTTTAAATTAGATACCCAATCAATTAATCTTAATTTTCTTAAAATTACTATGTTTATTTTTTATTAATATGCATAAAATAAAAATAAATAGTTCATCTTTGGATATATAATTTATAATCTTAATATACTATCATTTGGTGTAGACATATGAATCATAAAATATTTTTATTTCATAAAATTAAATATTATATTTAAAGAAAATAAGGAAATTACTTTGGATCAATCGGGTGATTGAATTAGGGTACTGCCCACTTTGATTGAATTACTTTTAGGTGATATTTAAAATAGTCAAAAAACTTGACATAACTTGGTTGGTCCGAGGTAATTAAGTTATGTATCAGTTTGACCA